GTTAAGATCCAAGTCAAGAGATGTTAAGAGTCAAGTCAAGAGAAGTTCTTAGAGTTTTCCAAAAATCTTTTACAAAAGTTTTAACTTTGTTTTAAGACTTGAGTTTTGAGTTGAGTAAATAGTAAAGTTTGAAGTTCATTTCTTCAAAAGAGTATATCGGGACTATGTATTCCCAAAGAGTAAATGTTTTTCACATTTAAAGAAGAAAAGAAACCTTGATTTCCAAAAGAGCCTTTGAGCTAGTTTTCAGTTAAAGAGTAAATGTTTCACGCTTGAGCAAGAAAGGAAACTTTGATTTCCAAAAAGAGCCTTTGAGCTAGTTTTCAGTAAAGAGTAAATGCTTTCACAATTAAGCAAGAGAGGAAACTGAGATTTTCGATATAGCCTTTGAGCTAAGTTTTAAGCAATTATCTCAAACCACAGAAAGAAGTTATGTTTTTAAACATAAAGAGCTAGTATATTTTGGGAGTACTATTGAGCACCGATATGGGGGAGAGTTCAAAAAACTCCGAACCGCCATAAACCATGTAGCCATCATGGGTAGAAAAGGGTAATACTTTTTAGATAATTCCTTTAGTGCTTTTTTAGCATAAGACTAGTGGATCCACTTATTAGTTCAGGTTTTATACCCCCGACAAGGTATAGGACGGCCCTGGCAGAGTGAGGTAAAACGTTGTATCATCACGATAACTCTTAATTGATGGTTGTCGGTTAGAGAAACTCCCACAACAGTATTTTGTATTTTTATATACAGCAGAAATATTTGTATTTTCATATACAAACAGAGTTCATATTGTATCTTTGCATACATACAGAGTTATTATTGTATTTCTAAATACACAGAGTTGAAAACCATGTTTTAAATTTGTACTTTATACTGCTTTTATTTACACTGTTTTATATTGAAATTAGTTCAGTTCAGTTCAGTTGAGTTGAGCCAAGTAAGTTTTTCAATTCCTTTCAAGCTTATGTCTTGTTTTAGAATTCCCCTCACATACTCGTACATTCAATGTACTGATGCCAATTGGCCTGCATCTTCTTATGATGCATGCAGACACAAGTAACCAGGATCAACATCCAGCGCCTCGTTGATCCAGTTGAGCACTCAGAGTCAGTTGGTGAGCCTTCTAGGTTTCTGAATGATCATTTTTATTGCTTTCAGTACTTTAGTTCATTAGGATGTCGTGGGTCTTGTCCCGACGTCTATATCAGTTGTTTAGAGGCTTCATAGACATAGTTAGTTGATGTTAGTTCATGAGTCTTTACTTTCCCTTTTCAGTTAAGTTGAAACTTGAGTTGCCACTTTGGCAGTGAATGTTATTTATTACATTCTAAGTTATTATTGAGCAGTTCAGTTTATTCTTTAAAGTATATTTATCTTGAGTAAAGTCTTTCGCTGAGTAAGTAACTCAGGCCAAGTGTTCACTTAGGGCCAGCAATGATTCTCGAGTGCCGGCCACGTCCAGGGTGTAGGCTCGGGGCGTGACAAAAAATACTTTAAAGAAATAAAAATAATTTCAGAAAGAGTCTTTTTCACTACCCAATTAACTACACATATATACGTACAATGTATGTTATTTATTTATGTCATTTATTAAATTAATAAATTATATTATCTTGAGCCGTAGTTATAAAAAAATTGTAGAAATCGAAGAGTTGGCTTTTCATTATTCAATACAGATTATTATATTTGTCAATTTCCTCCATATATCAGCTCACATTTTTGCATTACTCTTCTTTTACTCAACATACTTCCTTATTTATGTTTTGTTAAATATATTCTACTGAGTTTTCCTTCTCTTCCTCTTATTACAATTTTACATTTTTCTTTCCAATTTATTGATTCTATATTTCCCAATTTTGTCTTTTCTTTTTTTAATAGAAGTTGTGTGCAATCCATATTATAATGCAAAAAGGAAAATTGACTTTATAGTGTTTTAAAAAAATATAGATATAATTATTGTTATGCATTTCAAGTTTTCTTTATATATATACTATTGAATGTTGGTGTATAGATTGAAAGTTTCTCAATTAATTGCAGGGATTATTGTGAGGTATGATTGATTAAACTCATTAGAAATACATAGGGAAAATGCATAAGTACCCCCCCAGCCTATGCCCAAAATCCCCGAGACACACCTAACCTTTACTAAGGTCCTATTACCCCCCCGAACTTATTTTATATATAATTTTCTACCCCTTTTCGGCCTACGTGGCACTATCTTGTGGGCCCAGCGCGTGTTGACAATTTTTTCAAGGATAGTGCTACGTAGGCCAAAAAGGGGTAGAAAATTAATTAAAAAATAAGTTTGAGGGGGGGGGGGGGGTAATAGGACCTTAGCAAAGGTTAGATGTGTCTCAAGGATTTTGGGCATAGGCTGGGGGGTACTTATGCATTTTCCGGAAATACATATTCTTATTATGCTTATAGTTTGAAATTTGAGGGTATCTGTTTTGATTTCTTATCTTATACATGTTTTTCAATTTATATTGCAATCAAAAGTTTTTTTAAAAAAAATTATACATAAATTTATAAATATAGACATATATTATGCAAGCATATAATATGGGATATACTTACGTGTCCAGATAATCCTACTATCAAAAGTGGAAAACTCTAATATGCAAAGTTGAATTACCATATTTTCCACCACCAAATTAATTTTTTATTAAATATTTGATAAAATCATAGTATTTTAATTACATAATTTTTCTTAATTATTATTATATGTTAAAAGCTCTTACATCTTCTCCGAACTATTGTTCATTGTACCTTCCACTTTTAATATTATTTATCCCTATCTTTTCACTTGCTCTGCATTCTTTCTATAGAGTCGATAATCCACCATAGGAGTTTTATCCACATTTGAATTTCTTTCCTAATATTTGCATTTCATCATTTCATTTTCTTTATGCTAAGTTTTCTCTATTGGTTTAATCTTTTCTCGCAGGTAACAAAATCATATAATGCTAGCAAGGTAGCATGACTTAGTTGGTCCAAGACCATTTCATGGTAGCTAGAATGGAACACTTGTAATACCCTTCATTGTATAGCTTGGACTTGCATGATAGTATGCCTTCCATGGTAGCATGGTCTAGCCTAGTATGGTGCTATTCCTTTGGTAGCTTGGTCTAGCCTAATAGGGTGTTATTCCTTGGTAGTCTAGAAATGATGAATATTAATCATTTAAGTATGATAGCCTAAAATGGTACTTGGTATGGGTAGGATTATGGGGTCTTATCCATGCATCACACAAGTATGACTTGAAACTACTTATTAAGTGTTCTTTTATATGTTGTATGCTTAGCTTGGATTGTTGCTATAGTTGACATCCTTGATATGTTGACTAAAGGTGAAGGTTCCCTTGTTTACGAGAATTAAGCTAAGGATGAGATCATGAGATGGAAAGTATGATTATGATGACCAAAGGGGATACTTAGCATGGATGAATTATGGGGTCTTATCCATGCATTGCACAAGTATACTTGGAGGTTACTTATGAAGTGATTTTCTTATGATATGAAGGTCTAAGTATTGACTATGTATGTGCTGAATTTAATAGTTTTTATGCAAAACAGTACTATCCCTTCGATTGAAAAAACAAAAAAAGGCATAGAAGAATGGCAAGCAAAAGAAGGAAATCAATATTTTGTTAAAGAAAAGCAAATTATTACTAATAATATTGCATAAGCAACAAAGTTAAAAATTGAATTACTAAAATAATCTTAAATTGCTGATTTTATATATATATGAAGAATCTTATTTATTTTTAATTAATATGCTATTTTTTATTACTTATAAGTTATAATAATCTAAAAGTCATTATTATTACTTCAATCTTTCAACTGTTCTATTACTAACTAATGAGGAGAAGCCCAAAACGTACCATCATAACTATTCAAACTTTTCATAGTTAACAATGCTAAAAAAAAGAATTTTAAAAGTCACTATACATATTAGTATAAATATATCTCATGTTTGTTTTTCCTTCCAAATTCAGAATTAGCATTTCAATTTTCTTTGTTTATTCTTAAGATTTTTGGTTGTGCTTATGTGTTATAGGTTCTTTTCTTTAACACTCTTTCTCTCTCTCTCTCTATATATATAGTTATTTATATATATAGTTATTTTATTTTTAAATAAATGTTACAAATATTAGAACTAGGCTATATTAGTATAAATAAAAATGATAGTATTAAAAGAGTATGTCTTATCTAATGATATTATATAAACACTACTTATCATATATATTTAATGATAAAAAGCTTCACATAACATACCTTCATCATCTTAAAAGAATCTTAATTCCTCTGGTGATGACTTGCTAAATGATAGATAACGTAAACATTAATATTTAATAGAGGATATATATGATTTAATTAAATTCTATTAATTGTCAAACTTTTTGATTTCCTTCGGTTAACAATTAGTATTAATGATGAATTTAAGCTAAATTCTTGTATAAATGAACATTAAGAATGTTCCTAATTCTCAACGGTCATTGAATGAAATAATAGTTGATAACTACAAACTAAGGTATGTAGAAATTTTCTTTTGCAGTTAAATCGGAGCCATTTAATCATCTTTGTATACTCATTTTGGTATGGTTACATGTTAAATATCACATTTTTGGACCTAATAACATAAAGTTTAATCATTACTTTAATTACCAAACCAAGTTTTGTTGTCCAAATTTTGCAGGTTCATGGAATGTCTAATCATTTTACATACGATAAAAAAGTTATTTAAATAGATTGACTGTTCATATATTTCAAATTATATATTTTTTTGTTGAAAAATTTATGATACTCATTACAATGTGATTTGATATAACTCATACCTTATATAATATTTTCACAGAACTCAATTGTGCCAACATATTTTTTTTGTGTCTTCTTTAGATGGAGAGGTTGGAAATGCAATTCACAGAGTTTAATATGAGAACAATTATAACTCTAGGACAATTAAAAATAGAAAGTATCTGAAAATAGAATGGTACCTCTGTTTCCTTCCATAAATAATGCAATGAACTCGATCGGAGATCAAGATTAACAAGCCTTCTGGGATTAAAATTTTCTGGCAATAACTTCCAAGGATAATGAGGCCAGACAAACCAACACAAGTTGTTGGGCAGGTACTCAATAGAGACATCTTCTAAATCACTTTGGGAACCCCATGGATAAGTCTGTAGGCATAATATCCTAAGACTTTGCATATTTTTAATTGCGTCTTTGCTAAAGCTTAGTTTTTTAAATGTCCATAACCAGATTGCTTCCACTGCCATGGTCCCCTATAAAAAGATCATGAATCAACAAATCATGTACAATCCACTTATCAATATCATTGTTTTCTTACTCTACCCACGAATGCAAATTTTTGTCATGTTTTATATTATTTATTATTGTACTTGAAGTTCTTAAAGAGCCAGCACCATCAAATAAAATTTAAGGTACAAATATTAGTTAAGAAATATGCCGCTTACGAGAAATGCTTTGCGTAGTTAATTTTATTTGTTAATGATACATTTTTTGAGAATTTTATTAGACTCAAGTTAAAAAGTTTTTCATGCTCTCATAAAACAAAATGGTAACTGAAATAGTGCCAATAATTGTCATCTTTTAAATGAAAAAAAAAATAATCGATCATTGAATTAGTAAGGTAAGTACTGGCCCTCCTAAATTTTATTTTTTCATTTCTGAATTTTTATTAATAAAAAATTACTTAGGGTAAATAAATGGGTGATATTAGCTTTTAAAAAATTATTGATTAAATTAGTACGTACAAATTTAATATCGTATAAATTTCAGGTTAATCCAAAGAATGATATAAGATTAAATATATTAAGTGGCTATTAGAGTAATTCATAACTTATTAAATGACTTGTGTGCGAGTATATGAAGCTAGAGGAACAGAGTGTGTGTATATATATATATATATATATATATATATATATATATATATATATATATATATATATATATATATATATATATATATATATATATATATATATTTGAAATATGAATACTCTTGCATTGTTTAGCTTACTTACCATATTGTTCATTATAACATCTTCGAAATCTTCAACATTCCATATTCTGCTGGAATCTTTTTGCATTTTCACAATGTATTTGCCCATATCTTCAATCAAGTCATGCATTTCAATCGCACCATAGTCAATGAACACAAGGGATTTGTCAATTAGGACATCCAATATGAATTCAGCTCCAGATTCATAGCTCTCAACAATTCGCATGACTTCTTCTCTATCATCTCCTCGGAAGAAACATGCGATATCTAGAAATATCTTTTGCTCTCCAGGCTCCAATCCATCATAACTTATTTTGAGTTTTTCAACAATTTCTGAATTAGACTTTTTCTTTATTTGGTCTACAATTATTTCCCACTTATCTACGCCTTTCTTATGCAACATAGAACCCCACACCTTGATGGCTAAAGGAAGGCCTTTAGCCTGATTTACTACCTCCAATGAGAACTTCTTAAAACACTCATCTGGAACTTCTTTTTTGAAAGCATGTTGATTGAACAATTGCATAGCTTCATGATCAGGTAGTGTATGCACTTCATATATTGCATCACTATCCTCTATCAATTTTCTATTTCTAGTTGTTACAATAACTCTGCTTCCATTACCAAACCAATCAACATCACCTGCTAAATACTCCAAATGATCATCATGATCTATGTCATCAAGCACAATCAACGCCTTCATTGAAGAAAGTTTGTTCGGAATCATGCACTTCCCATCATACTTATTATTGACGTAATTATCTTTTTTTCTTAACAACTCAGAGAGAAGGGTATTTTGTAAGGAATGTAGTTGATTCTTTCTTGCATTTTCTTTAACATCGGCAAGAAAACAAGCTGCTTGAAATTGATGAGATAGAGTATCAAAGATGGCTTTTGCTATCGTCGTCTTACCAACTCCGCCTATTCCCCTGATTCCTACAATCCGAACATTATTGATTTCTATTTGAAGTAGGGATTTTAGTTTCTCCAAATGAGCATTTATTCCCACAACATCTTGCAAATAAGATAAAAAACCACTCTTGCAAAATTTGGAAGAGATGTGGTCGACGATCTGATCAATTTTCATCGATTGATTAATCCTACATAAATTAGAGAGTGATTGTTGACAATGTGAGGAAGTCAAGTATTAGAAAGTATTTTCATACTTTTAATGTTCAAGAGCGTATTAAATAGGAAACATTATAGTTCAGGATAATATATAGAAACATATTGTTATATTTTTCATCAAAAGCAATTATTTGTTTCCAACTCACCGGCCATGAATATCATGTCCTTTTAGATCTGCGGCAGCAATTAGGGCATTCCTCCATCCTTGAACCTTCTGCATCCCCTCAACATCATCCTTATACCTCAATTTGTGTTTGGCAAATGCTTCTGCAAAGCTCTCAATTTGGTATCGAACATGTGATGGATCCACATAATAGAAGACCGGTATAACTGTTTGTCCATTTTCTTTCTCCTTGCATTCCATAATCTTCAATAGTTCATTCAAGCACCACCTTGACATAGCATAATTCTTTGAGAAAACGATTACGGCAACTTGAGACTCTTCTATCGCTTGCACGAGTTCTTTTGAGATGGAATCGCCATCCTCTAGCCTTTCATCATCTAGAAAGGTGGATATTCCCCTATTTTTCAAACCTTTGTGCAAGTGACTCGTAAAATTATTCCGGGTATCATCTCCTCTGAAACTTAGAAAGACATCGTACTTCCATCGAGGACAGTTTTGTGAATTACTCGCAAAAGAAGAAGAAGATGATGCCATAGATTCAATTAATTATCTGAAAAGAAAAAGTGAAGTGTATGGATCGGATGAGACCAATTGATGAACAAATTAGTTATATAGAGGAAAGTAGAAATAAACACTCCAGTCTATGGTTATGGACCCACTATCCATCTGCACAAAGAAAAATTGGACCACATTATTATTACGAACAAGCAATACAAATCCCACTAGTTTAGAGTCTAATTACGTATTTTTATTTTAGTTTTTGAAATTATCTTTTGAACCATATTTTTACTTTTGGGCACTCAGATACATGTATCTCAAATATATGCGGGTCAAATTTGATGTAATTTGTTCCAATTACATTGTATATTCAAGTGTGACACGTATGTATCAGAGATACACTGACTCTCTTTCTCACCCTCTCTATGTATTTGTATTTCATAATATATCTAGTATTAAGAAAAATATGTGTATCTAGTATCAAAAGATATATGTTGACTTTCTTGCTCGCCTCTCTCCTCTCTCACTCACCTCTCTCCCTCTTTCGCTAACCTCTCTCAATCTGTTACTAGTATTTATGGTAGAAATGTTTGTGTAATTAGATAGTTTTCTCCTACTATTTTTGATGGATTTTTACCTTTCATCACAATGAACGGATGAAGTCAAGTCGCGTTGTTGTTGACAAAGAAATTGCCCTTCTTTTTTCTTTGCACTAGTATGTGCTTGTACTTCAATTTTTAGTGCTCCATTGTGTGGATATGCATTAGAGTTTCCAAGAAATTTCCTACATTTATTGCTTTTGACTGGTTGTTTATATTCAATGGAAGTCTAGTCTTCATGTTTTGTCGGTAAAAAATTTGGAAGACGGGGTCTACTCCAATTGAATTATTGCTATGGGTTCCACAGCAAAATGAACACAGTGGACATCTCAAAATATAAGTGCATGAAGCTACAAAGAAAGGCTATATCTTGAAAAATATCTCCATTGAATCAAATTATTGTGAGTTAGTTTTACTTAGTATTATGTATCCGCATAGATGCTTGACTTAATTCAGATTCGTGTCGAGAGGTTTTACATCGAGGGTAAAACACTTCCTAACAAGGACTAGTCAATAATCAAGGCACAAACTCAAAATATTTAATTAAGAATGAAGAAATAATTATGACTCTATCATAATTATTGTTATTGTTCGATCTCTCATTTAATAATTGTAATTAACTAATAATTCTTTTTATTTATGGTTATGGATTCACCGTAAGGAAAATTGGTCCATATCTCTGCTTTTGATTGATTATTATTTGGAAAAAATTGTAATTAACTAATTTCTCTGTTTCAGTTTATACGATTCACTTTCTTTTTTAGTCGGTTCCAAAAATAATGACGGATAAGAAACAAACGATATACACTCCTATTAATAGTTGCTCGACCACTTGAGCTACATTGGTTTCAAGAGAGGTGTCACATCACTTCTATTAAAATGGGAGTTATATAAATATCTGTAGGTTCAAGAAGATTGGATTATCGTATACCCAACTTCTTTTCTCAAGCCAAGAATCTAGTTGTTTTGTAACAAACAGAGAAATTTTTCACCTCTAGATGGAAATAGAAAATACTCATTTTGTTTCAATTTGATTGTTTTATTTTTTTATTTTTCAGTCCGCTTAGAAAAGAACGTATATCTTTTCTTTTATTTAAGGGAAAATAACGAGGGCAACTTGAGAGTATTTGAAAGCTTTCAAGAGTTCTTCTAGGATCAAATCGCCATGTTTTAGCCTTTTATTAATTTAAAAGGTGATTATTTTCCTCTTTGTCAAACGTTTGTACAAATAACTCATGTAATTGTTTTATGAGTATCTTCGCCTCTCTCTATAGTCAACTGGTAAATTTCCATAGTAAGTAGTAGGAAATTTCTTCACGCCTTCCACACATTTATATTTGATTGTGACATGGATTCAAGTGCTGACAAATTCCAACAAAAATTGGAAAAAGTCACCCAACTCTCGGAAAGCACAGTGGGACAACTAAAAAGAAATAAAGGTGTGGGAGCCATTCACACGTGCTTAACCGCGTTAAAAATTTTGGGGTAAGGTGTGGGGATCATGTGCCTTTACCCCTTTGCTTTTTAATATTTTTTTGTTGTCATTTTGGAATTTCGGCCAAAAAATAAACTTGCCCTCTCTGGACTACAAAATGGACTGCTAAAAGTACAAGCAGATGAAGCTTCAAAGAAAAAGAGTCCCAAATGAGAAGAAACAAAATTTTAGGAGAAGTTAAATGGAATTATTGTAATGGGCGGAGTCATTTAAGGTGAAGGGTGATTTGGTGCGCACACATCGCTAAAAAATTATGTGGTATATTGAGATTAAATATTACTCTGTTATTATAAGTGTATATTTAATTTTTTACACACTTAACATAACTAAGAAAAATATCTGCACACCCTTCACTAAATTCCTAATTCTGCTACGAAATTTATCTCTCCACAAGTACAAACACCAACCTCCCTTTATCTTCTCTGCCAAAAATTGATTGAAATTTGTCTTTAATTTCACAGAAAGCAAGCAGAAGACTTTGACTTTAAAAACTCCACTGGAATGGAAGATGTAATTATTGATATTTTTTCAAAAAAGCTTTTTGCATCTAGTGTAATTTTTTACCACACATTTAAAAAATCACCAAAAAATGTGGTGGAGCGGATAAGGCTGCTCCTCACTTAATCAGAGGTTTCGGGTTCGAGTCCCAGGTATGAAAAAGTCCTAGGTATGGAGTGCTTAATTTCCTCCAAATGGGGCTTTAAGTGGAGCGAATTCAGAATAGTCGAGCTCCAATGCGGTACCAGATACCAGATAAAAAAATAAAAATAAAATAAAAAATACATTCTAAGAAATTTCAGCTCCACAAATCCAATGGGGTTTTAACCATACATTTATTACTGATAGGTTGAATCTATCACAATTGATTATATATGAGTACGTTTCACCATCTCTTAAATTTCTATGACTTGAAATTTGGTACAAAATTATTAATTAGTAAGACAATATGTAATTATTTTAAACTATAAAGTGAATTAGTTTTTAGGGTAGAAACTATAAACTATAAAGTGAATTAGACTTGACTCCGCAATGAATTGATGAAGTCAAGTCGTGTTGTCGGTGACATAAAAATTACCCTTGTTTTTTCTTTGCACCTTTATTTGCTTATACTTTTAATGGTCCATTGTGTGCATATTGCATTGAAGTTTTCAAGAAATTTCCTACTTACTTCTAATAATGTACATATTTATTAAAATAACTTTTTTGATCGGTTATTTATCTTCTATACAATTAAGTCTACTATGCATGCTTGGCCAGTTATAAAGAAATTGCTAGGACATTGTCTTATAGTTTCAAATAAACGAGGCCCACAATTTGTTAGGTAAAGTTTCATTTTACGTCTTTATATTTAGATTATTTTTATTCATTTAATTTATTTTCGACTGAGAAATGTTTTGATTCTAAGGTGAGTTTTAATGGATATCAATAAATTTGGTATGATGTTTCAAGTTAAAATTTTATCCGAGACAATATCTTATTAGGATTGGTAAGGTACTGTTGGACACTTTATCTAGTGATAAATTTGCTATAAAAAAAAAGAGGTGATTTAGTTCCTTTTGCCAGCAAGATGAATAATTTTTTTAAAAAGAAGAGAAAATTCAATATCATAATTCGATGTTTCTGATAGCAAAAGATATGTATGTTCATCTCTTTTGACAACTCTGATTCTAATTCACACAACTCCAGTGGAATACGTTTGATTCCTGGAAATAGTTCCCTTTGCTCCGTTAGCTGGTGTAAGAGAGATGTCGTGTCACCTTTACTAATATATAAGACAATGGATTATTGCATACACAAGTTCTTTCGCGAATCTCTTTCTCAGGCAGAGGAAATATGTGCCCTTCATATGCAGTGTTACGCGAAACTCCAAGTTAAATGTGCCCTTCATACACGTTACCTATTGCTTTCATAAAGACTGAAGTCAACAAGCTGGAAAACAGACAGCTCCTTAGATTTCAGTAGTTAAAACGTAATTAAAAACTGAGAGTTGTGCACTCCTTACTGTATCGTTGCAGCTCGATGATTCCCTTCTCTGTTGACAACATCCACGACTCCAACGATATTCAATACCTTCATATACATAATTTTTTGTCAGATAAAATATATAATAGTAACTTGTGAGCTACTCAATCTTGTGACAAAAGAACCGATGATCTGTGTGACCTAATCTAATGTTACATTAGCTACTTCAAAATTTCCAGGCATGTTCCATACAGACATTTTCCCTTTCTCACTTTCTCCCTTGAAGATTGTATCAAATGAGGAGTTGATTAAGAACAGCTCTACCCACTATGACTAATCTTGTTGCTTCAGATTCACATTTTGCTTCAAAACAAGTATAAGAGAACTGAAAGAGATCACGAGGGAGACGAACCTCAACTTCACTGCCTCTTTGAGAGAGCATCAAAATGAGTTTTAAAGCCATGAATCAGTTGCTGATAAGTTTGCTGTTGATAAGGCTCATATCCAGCATATTGCTGATAATGTTGCTGATACCACTGCTCTGAAGTAGGCACACCAGCTGAAGCAGTAGCAAGAGCCTCAGAGCTGGCATTTGTTTACTGATTGGGATCATGTCCATTAAGCAGAGAAGCAGTGCAATCAGACAAGGAACCTTCCCATGTGCATCCACTTCTGTGATAGAGATAAACGCACTTAAACTCTGCCTATGCTTTCAGCAAGTGTCTTGTCTGACTCAATAAGGGCCTGTGAGGAAAAGTAAATGCAACACATTCAAAATACCGCGATAGCAAAAGCATCAGCAATTATCTAAAGGACAATGTACTACAGGGAGCTCACTTTAGAGTCTGCTTCAGTCACCAAGTATCCATCATAAGGACAGGCTCGGCTCCCATTGGCAACATGTGCCAGACAAGGTTTGCAGGAGAGATGAATGCACTGTGATTGGACGGCTTCATTAGGAAATACGAGTGTGCGACAAA